TTTGTATTGAGTGTATTTTTTAAAGTTGTTTCTTAAATACTTTTCTTATATTTGAGATTTCTTAGACGGAATCTGTTACATGGAACAAACATTCAGAAACATGTTGTACTGATCTACCGTCAACTTTGAAATAGTAGAGATTGGTTTTGCCAATTAAGTTAAAGTTATGTCACATATGCGAGTTCAAAAGCATGCTTCAAATTGCTGCATGTATTGGAGAATGAGATAGTACAATAGCTAAAAGTATTTATTCAGACAACGCAACTAATATATTATGTACACATGTCAACGTTCACGGAGCTGTAAATGATAAAACACACATTGACATTAAATGTTTATTTTAAATCATACGAGGGTGGTCCTACAAGTAATGCACTATTTACACTAACTTGATCAATACTTTATATTTTTGCATGAAATTTTCACTGCGTGATCTTTGGAGATATTTTGATTATTCTAATAATTTCATTTCGATTGATAATACTATGTTGATGTTATAATAAAATCATGTTAGTGAGTTTGAGTAGGATGGGGCAGGCTTTTTGTCATGTCAAAAAATTGGAAATATGAAATAATTGATCAACTAATATCATTTGTGCAGCTGTAATCAATATGATCAAAATATATTTCAAGTTACTATACTAGCAGAATATCCTAGATTTAATTGAAGTATATTTCACACTGTCCCATTTCAGTTTTTCTAAGAATATTGACCTTTGCTACACTTTTGATGCCTTCTTCCCAGTCATTGAAACTCAAACGGCAATGCGCAGTATGGCAAGTGATTTTAGATGGTCATATCTTTCACCATGAGTACTTTCTGGGCATAAATACAGTGGTTTTTATTAAAACAATATGTTTTCTTTCAAGTGAAGTACCAATAATAACTAGACTTTGGAAATTGAACGAAGTTCAATTTCAGACTCCAGATCTAGACTTTTTTAAGCCCAGTCATCTAAAATAAGCCGAGTCATCCAGAATAAGCTGAGTCATCCAGAATAAGATGGATGGATAAAATAGGAAGGTAGGATAAGATAGAATGGGAAGGAACGATAGGATAGAATAAGAAAAAAGAAGGATAGGATAGAACAGAATAGGAGGAAAGGATATGATAGGAGAGGATAGGAAGGATAGGAAGGAAAGGATACGAAGGAAGGATAGATAGGAAGGATAGGATAGGATCAGAGAGGAAGGATGGATGAATTTTTCAATATTTTCTTCTCTACTCTTGACTTTCTATCAGGATACCATCAGATCGATTTTCCGAAATTTCAAAACGCCATAACTTCCAAACCGGAAGTCGGATCGAAATTTGATTTAAAGATTCGGATTCCTGACAAAATTCTACCCCTAATTCATAACTCATACGTTAAATTTGGCGAATTTTTATTTTGACCTACTTTTTGGACACGCCATAACTTCGAAACCGGAAGTCAGATCGAAATTTGGTTTGCAGATTCGGATTTCTGAGAAAATTCTATTCTTAATTCATAACTCAAACGTTAAATTTGGAGAACTTTTTATTTTGACCTACTTTTCGGACACCATATCTCAAAAGTGGGTCAAAATACTTTCTGACGGCAAAAGGCTAACGCTATTAGCACACTCTTGGCTACATGTATACACAATTTCGAAGAATATAATTAAAGTGTAGTGTCAGAATCGCAAACATAAGAAAAAACTTTGAATTTGACCTAGATTTTGACCTAGGCATTTTGGTGTCCAAATTTTGAAGCTATGTGGCTTTCGAGGTCCCCTTCTTTTAAAGGCTTTGATTATATGAAGCTGAACTCAGTGTATATTTCGTATTTTTCAATTCAAAAAAATCTTTTTTCCCATTGACTTAACATGGGCACCAAATTTAGCGATTTTGGAGCTTTCAAAACGCAATAACTTCCGAACCGGAAGTCCGATCCAGATTTGGTTTTCAGATTCGGAATCCTGAGGGAATTTCCTATAAGACTAACATCCTGGACATTGAATTCGGAGAACTTTTTTTCGGACCTCGTTTTCGGACACTGATATCTCGAAATCGGTTCGAGATATCAAAAAACTAAATCGACCCTAGGATTCCTACTTTTTTATGAGGAACACAATGAAAAAAACCCAGATCAAAAATATTGAAGGACGACCGAGAAAATCGAAAAAAGTGACAAAGTACTGGATTTGACCTAGTTCTTGACCTTTGACCTAGATAAAAATTTGACCCAATTTCCCACCAACTAGATACTAAACCTAAATGAACTGTATAATGGTCTTTACTGGATACCTTATAGTTATTGAAAAAACTCTTAAAGAAAAATAATAATAAGAAGAAGAAGAAGAAGAATACTGGCAAAAACAATAGACTCCAGATTGACATCTGGAGTCTAATAAAAATGTCAAGCGAACAATTCTAAAAATTATGAATAGGGACCCCATGTCAACATTTTTTTCAAAATAATGAACCTATTTACACAAAAGTGGATCTTCTTTTTCTGATTTTTATTGCATGAAAAGATTATTCAACAAGTGGTCCAAAACATCTTCAAAAATAGAATGGTATTGAAAGTCTAGTTTTGAAGATATCAATTTTCGATGACCAAAATGATGCTGAAAACAATGGAAAGCACGAGTTTTCCCAATGGGAAAATAACATGGGATATATTAAGGCATTTCAATACCCATCCCCTTTTCAGAAATTGTTAATATTTGTAGAGGAGACTTCCGATATGTTTAAATTGAGAAAAACAAGATCCTGTTTTTAGAAAATAAACCTAACATTTTTTAAAAAGTGCCAAGGTGGGGCCCTAATCCATAATTTTTCAGAGAGTTGGATTGATATTTTACTATCATGGGGACTTCACCTGAAAGAAAACATATTGTTTTAAGAAAAATCATTGTTTTTATGGCCAGAAAGTACTCATGGTGAACGAAAGTTGTCAGTTTTTACTTTTTGATTATTCCAATACTCTATTAGTTCGCATTTATAAGGAACATTTCTAGAGTATCTCTGGTATGGTATATCCTTATGGAGTATTTTGATGCATACAGACTAAAGGCACAGTATGCAACAATAGTTGATCCTACTTTGAATTCTGGATCTAAGGATTACTACTATTACGAGAAGAACATTTTTCATGTTTGCACGATTCTGATTTATTCTTGCCGATTAATTAGGTCCCAAACTTGAAAATTCAGTCATCACAAGTCTTACTCTTGTGAGCTGAATCCTACACCTTGATGATCCTGCGATTCTGATTATTTTTCTACTTAAATTGTCTCCCTAATCATAATAATAATGAGCTGAAAATGTATATTTCAAGTATTCTGAATAAAGCATTGCAGATAGATAATTGTTTTGAATCTAATGAGATTCTGTATGAATTACTAAATCGTAAAGTTTGTATTATTGTTGTGAATAACCCCACCCCTTCTCTGAAGTCTTAAATGTTACCATTTTCACAGTTCCGGCCTATGTAGCCCTGAACACATCTACATGTGTATTTATTAAGGCCATCAATACAAGTTGCTCTGTTCTGGCATGGTCTAGATTTACAATCATCTGGGTCTGAAATAGTAAGGGTATTTCAAAAAATTGAAATGCAAGTGGGCACATTGATCAAAACAATATTTGCAAAATACATGAAACCAGAAAGTGTAAAGATGTTGAGAATATCATACTATAAGTACAATTATATTTTGTAGTAAAACAGATATACTTATTTCACATAGGTCCCCGAAAGTTCCAGCAGGACATATGCAAGTGACTTTACCATTGGTCAAAGTACACCTTCCTCTGTTCTTACATGGATTAGGTCGACAACTTTTTAGTTTTTTCTGCCCTAAAATAGAAAAATTCAAGGAGCATGTAAAATGTTCAATATATGGTCAGTTTTATGACGAATTGTATTATTTCTACAAAGAAGCAGGGGAAGTATCGCAACAGATTTCAGACAGTCATATGTTGGATTTTGGCTGTTTTCTGAGGATTCAAACAGCTGCACATGTAAGGCAAATGTATTACTTCCATGAAAAGTACTCATAGAGATGATGGAAAAATTTAAACTTTGAAACAGAAGTTTTAAACACACAACAAAAATATTTTCTTTGAAATCTTGTCCTTATTTCAGTCATTTCTACAACTGTTTATAATGTGTGTTGCAACAATATATTGCATTTTGAGATGCAATTATCATCTTTAAAGGGGAAAATGCAAAATGCATCAGGGGTTTCAAAGATATCACTTATGGATGACCAAAATAAAGCTGATAACAATGGGTCACTCGAATTTTTGCTATTGGAAAATAACATGAGTAATATTGTTTTCCACTTCATCATGAATGCATTTTCCTTTTTAGAGGTAAATCAATCATGCGTACAATTTGAGAAGTTCTGTTGACAAACTACTCTGTTTCTTGTGAAGTCAATGATAAATGTCAAGTAAATACGTCATGGTATCGTATCATTGTTTTATCCTGTTTCTATGGCTCCGGTAATAATAAAAAGAAAACTGTACTCAATGAAAAATGCAAATAATAAGAGAGCTTTCACATCTACATGCAAATGTTTTGGACAACAGAATTTGACGTCTCTGTTTTCAGTTTCTTGCTCGAAACTCGAGGCCAGAGAATGAATAAGAACAATACATTGTTGACAAAGGGGCTGACGATGGGCCTGATTACTATCAATTGCTAGCTGCAAATGCTGGACTTACATGTATTCATTAAAGCAATGGCCCACCAAATTTAATAATTTCATTAAACAAGAATATATTGCTTACTTAAAGAACAAATTGTTCCATAATATCCAGGGGCACAGGTGCAATTAAACTTCCCTTCTGTATTTTGACATTTTGCACCATTCAGACACTTTCCAAGAAGACATTCATTCACATCTGTAATATAAATCACCTTGGTCAAATTATTTTGAGATGCAATCGAAATTTACCTAAAAGTTGACTCTACAGTTAATGGGGGGGGGGGGAATTTACCCCTATATTAGACAGAATATTTCAGATGGTGATACAAGTATAAACTTTGGCTTTTCTGCTTCTTAAAACCTTTTTCAAAAAATCTGTCCCTGTGATCGACGGAATATTTCACTTCTTCCACCCAAAATCCAAGATGGCCGATAAAGTATGACTTAAATAACATGTAGGGTGGGCATTTTTTGGGAAAATTCATGCTCTCATGGTGAAATGTTGTTCTTTAAGGTGAAAATAGTCATGTAAATTTTTTTCACATTTTTAAACTGAATTTTAGCCCTCTCCCATGGCCCCAAAGTGTGACGATTTGGCGTAAAATGGGAAATAATGTTCATTTTCTAGGTTCAAATAAAGAATGCAATGACAAATAACATTAATTATTATTTAAAAAACATGTAATACCTTTGCCTGATACTACAATATGAAGATTTCAATTATTGAAAAATTGAACGTTTTTTTTAAAAAGCGTTGAAAGTGCCCTATCCCATAAAATTGGAAAAAGGAAGTTGTGGTCAATTTTATCATTCTGTAGGATTAAGTTAGAAACGTGTATCAACAGAAAACAAATAAGTACATTCAGACCATCTTCGAAGGTAACTAGATATCATAATATGATTATTATAACTATATAGGACACAACATATTTTATATATGTGTATGATTATATGTTTATGTAGTACATGTATCACTATATAATGTAATGTAATCATAAAATAGAGAGGTTGCTATGATTTCATCAGAGTATGTTTAGACATGTTTATCTCTATGTTTAGAGCTGTAGTGTACAACATACACACATAACACATAATACTGTTATGAACTCAAGTCAAAATAAATAATTAGGAGTTAAGCAAGGTTCATTCCTGACACCCTTCTTATTTTGTATACTCACAAATTGGTACAGTGGATACTCTATTTAATTTAATGAATTTAACATCATTGGTACTACTGTTCTAAAATAAGAAATATAAATTCACTAATTTACAACAAAATCAGTTTTTAAAAGTCATTATTACATAGGAGCCGTTTAAGGTTCTTTTGACACCCTTCTTATTCTTTACACTTACAAATGCACTAATTTACAACAAAATCAATTTGTGTAAATTGCCAAAACAACTCAAGTTGCCAAAACAACTGAACATTGAGTACTGAGTGAGTTTTGCAGATTTATCAATGCGATGAATGCAGAACTTTGATGTGAGTTTAAACAATGGAGTAGCATTGCTTGTTTCACTTGTCCTTCAGGTTTTGTTGTGATTAGCAGCTTTAGTCTTTTTTGTCAGTTTAATTTCCATTTTTTCTGCTTCTACCTCTAAAGCTGCATACAAACTCAGAGAGGTTGGAAAACAGGTTGATCAAACCTCACTCAGTTATTCAGCCAGCTCTGCACAATGCAGCCATAGTCACAATTTTTCTGTGTGGCCTATTTTTAAGAGAGCCTTGTTTCACTCTGTTGCTGTAACTCCAGCAGAATTTAACAGCCAGGAAAGGGACTATCGTATTGTTCTGATATGATGACAATCAAGTCATTTGGGCAATAAAGGAGTCTCATTGTAATAGTCATTACAATTAGTCACATTCCAATCTGTTGCTTGAATAACATACCTGGTATGTTGCTTGAGGACTCTTTAGGCAGTTTGAAGGACTTGTGACAATTGGGTCAATATGTTGTATGTTCTATTAGGCCGTCCTGCCTTGCCTAGTTGGTTGGGTAAGTTTTGTGACATTTAGTGTTCTATAAGGAAATGACAGGGAGCTTCCAGGAGACTGCAACATTTGATATGATTCCCAGGTTACTAGGTTTTTTAGTTTAGTGAAGATACACAGAATGGCTATTTCAGTGTCATTTGCTAGAGTGACCCCATCAATCCATGAAAATGTGATACTATTTTGGATGTGGGTTATAATTTCTCATTTTAAATTCATTGCACTCCTTGTGGCTCCTTTCAGAAGGATGTTCATAGCTGCCATGAATAGTAACATGCAGCCTGCCATGATTCCCTTCTCTAAAGGCTGCCAACCAGTGGTGATTTTTTTCAGTCAAGAATCTCAACTGAATACCTTCAAGGTGCTCTATCTCAAGGCCAATCACATGTTGAGGAACATTATAATGCTTCAAAGCTGTTGAGTTAATTTGTGTGGTACACTGCTGCCTTAGTTATATCAAGTCATACAATTGGCAAGTTGGTTTTGTGTTGCTTTGTTTCTGCTACTAGCTGTGTTATAGCTGCAACATCACATGGCCTTTACTGTTGACCTCACTGTAGACAACTCGACACGGGGCTCTAAACCCAGCAAGTCTCTAGACATGTTTAGTTTGCTTTTGTAAAAAATCTGTACTTAAATGTACAGTATTGTGCAATTCCACTTGTAATTCTGTATAATTGATAAGTTCTTGTCTACCTGCCCTTATTTCATCATACTATTAAGAGATTGAGATAATAATGGACTAAGGTAGAACCTTGGAAGACTACTTCAATGTTTGCATTGATACTTGGTTGACGATATTCTCATTCAAACTTGAAATATATTCATGAATTATATCTTAGATCTTAAATGTATTAGAGAATATTGTAAAGTAATTCAAGTTCTAACAGAGAGGGCCAAAATAGAACCTTGAAGAACTCCTTTAAAACTCTTTTTGCTAAAATTCAAATCAAAGAAGATCATAGCATTTCTTAATATATTCGCATGTCTTAGTACTGAGTGAACCTATTTTTTAACCATATTATCTCTATGTATGAATCTAAGGTGTCATTTTTACGGAATTTTGTACATATTTCGACAACTTGAAATTTTTTAGTGAAACAGTATTAGGTTTGGCTGATTTAAGGGATGGAATTTTTCTTATTTGCAAAGAATTTCAAGAGATTGTGATAATAATGGAGTGTAGTAGAACCTTGCGTGACTCCTTCAAAGTCTCATTGGTACTTGTAAGACAGTGTTTTTATGTAAACTTGAAATATTATTCAAGGAAACAAGTTTAATGACTAAAGTTGTTGCAAAATAAGAGTGCTCCCAAAATAGAACCTTGTAGAATCCCTATATAAAGTCATTTTGCCCAAATTCAGCTCATTAATGAATATAACTGTATTTCTAGATATAATGTACATGCTTTACTACTGAATCAATATAATTTTAAACCATATGTATCTCTATATATGAATCTAGAGTGTCATTTGTATCGAATTACACATATACGGCAGCCATCTTGAATTTTTTCCTGAAATAGTGTTCAGTTTGATCGATCACAGGGACAGAATTTTTCCAAATAGTCTAAATAACAGATTAAGCCAAGAGATTTGCTTGTATCACCATTTGAAATATTTTCCACTAATTTCCCCCGCTAAGTGTTTGTAAAGCTTTTTTTTAAATTGTTGTTGTACCCTTGTCACACAACGTGCCCTCCCAACCAGATGGACATCCACAGGTAAAGCTGTTAACACCATCTTTACACCGTGCTCGATTTTTGCAGGGATTTGGTAGACAGTCATTGATATCTGTAAAAAACATACACGTTTATGCAATTACTCAACACAATCCACAACAATTACACCAACATCAATTTTGATTCATTTGTATAGATCTTTTGACTTTTCAGTGATGCAATCAAAACTATGTGGAAATATTGTCATTCGTTTGCCTTTTATTTTTCTAAATATAACAAATATATAATAAAACATAATATATGATGATTTTTGATACCTACTTATTGCACAAGTTGCTCCAGTGTAACCAGGCTTACAACGACAAGTGAATCCACCATCTGTGACAGATCCAGTGTTAGTGCAAGTTCCATCAAATTTACAAGGATTTGGACGACAATCATCTCTGGCTACAAACAGACACGGTTTACTTAAACATTATTTCGATTTACTCTAAATAATTGTGTACACTATATTTGATTTGAACATGACTGTATTCGCACCTTCTATAAACTGTGAACAAAGTAAATGTTTCACCCTATAGTATATAGTAGTGGCGGACCATTAAATGAATATTCGATAATCTTTGGTGAGTTTTACACCCCTTAGCGCTAGGCACAAAAGCTTTCTAACCCCTCACTCCCTTCTGTCGTTTGGGGTACAAAAAACGTTTCTGCCTAGTCCTTTCGGGGTGTATTCGACTATATTACACCTATTTCTTCAGGGCTTATTTCAATTTCCATAATTCTAGAAATTTAAATTTAACACTGGGAATGCAATGATTAACCCAAGCTTTTATTTGCAATTCAGTGATGAAGTTATCTTCATAAAAACATATACTCCATGTTTTGTCAATGTATACTGTAGTTAAATGGTTTTACACGATTGCCTGTATGTAGCTCATGAGAGAAATAAATACCTCTACATATCATTCAGAAACAGTGAAATACAAGAGGGAAACATTAAACATTCGTTATCAATTCAAAAGTTTGCAATGCTAGGTTTCCAGTGATTTAACTTTTGATACAAAAAATAATAGAATATATAGAATAACTATAAAAAGGCGACTCATGGGAGTACCACATCCAACTGTACAAACTATATTTTTATCAAATCACTAGTAATTTCTAACCTTACATGAAATGAACAAGCAGTAAAACAGAATGCAATAAAACAGCTCCCCTGTGTTCCGTTTTGCGAAACCTACACTCTCAATGTTACATGACACCATGTTATAAAAATTTGTTTTCAAGAAGAGGTCATATGACCTTGTTTTATCAGCCTATAAAATATAGCCCAAATCTAAAAGCCTCTATTTCTATTCTCAGAACTGATATATTTCCTTAAAATGCATTTGTGCATAAAGTAACTTATATACAGTATATGCAGCAATTACACTAATACGTACCATATTCACATAGATCACCAGCAAATTGGGCAGTGCATGTACAGATTGGTTTACCAGGTCCATCAGCACAGCTTCCACCATTTTTACATGGATTACGATCACATTCATTCAGGTTGTCTAAACATAATAAAGTACTAGACGTTTTAAATAAGTTGTTATTCAAATACTGTACAATAAATTGAAATATACCCATGGACATGGTCTTGTGATTGCTGGCCACCCATATCTTTGACTCAGTAAGGCCACCACTGGTTGCCAGGTAATATAAAGTAGTAGAACAACAAATAAATTGAAACCATGCTTTTTAGAAAAAATACATATCTGACAAAGATTCGAATAATACAAATGAAGACACATGAATGTTATATATTTTTAATACACTGAAATCTGCTACTTCTATCTCTATTGTCTGAACATGTCAAGTAAGAATATACATTTCATCTGGGCTGAAAATAATTGAGGCTCAAAACTGTTTTTCAAAAACTATTAGTTAACTGTTAAGCTAAAGTGGGCAACAGGATCTGTAATAGATTACTAATACATTCAATGAATCTAGGAATCGATTCGATTTCGACTGCTTTGGAGTCACAATTTGTTTTTAAATGAGCAAAAACACTAATGACACTATTAAAAAATTCTGAGGATGAGGAAGCACATTGGATAAGAGGATAGAGCAGTATAATGGAGGGTCTGTGTGATAACAGGAATAAATGGTAAAATGATAATAAGTTGTATAAAAGTAATTACATAGTAATGGTTCGTGGTTAAGTATTATGAAAATAATGAACAGTAATGTTTTGAGATTAGTTATATGAAGGTAATAACATACTCTGTCTGGTGCGTACGCACGAACGATCTCTCTTTTTCTTATTTCAGGCGTTGTAGTCAGAATTCCTACGACATTTTTAATAACAAACTGAGTCAGAAAGTTTAAGAAAATGTACATGTTTGCAAACAGACAACAGAATCTTCGATTTAAAATCTCACTTCTGTTCCTTTTATTGAACTCTTAAAAAACAGTTAAGATCTGCACTTCTAGCCCGTTCCCGTTTATGTAACACTAGTGAGGTACTAAATCGACGATTATGTTGTTTAATTCTTAACTATATTTTACGCAAGTATGACCATTTTTAAACATAATGATACTAACACAAGTTTGGGAAAAAATGTAGGAACGGACGAACAAAAATTGTTTTCTCTCAAAGGACTGGGATTAAAATTTAAAAAATACGATTTCTGTAAGAAGGCATAAAATGGATGGCAGAATAGAAAACCTTGCTGCAGAAACTTTGATGATTTCTTAATGATAGAGAATGGGAAATAAATTGGGTTCACGGATGAAAATTACTTTCCATTTGAGCTTGCACGAGTAAGAGACAAATGATCACATTGATGGCAATAGAAAGTGGAACATCCTTATTGAGAGTTTAGAGGGAAATTTACTTTTAAGGATGCTCGGGTCTAAGTCGCTTCGTGATAAGAACATTTGCATACCGAGAAGATAGAAGACCAACTGATCACTTTTTAAAGTGAAACAAGAAAATACATATTAATGAAATGGCCAGAACTTGTGTCTTCTAAATAAAGTAAATACTCACCAATTTGACAAAGGTCTCCCGTCAGCCCAGTAGGGCATTTACAGAGTGCCTTACCAATAGTATCAATACACTTTGATTCGTGTTTACATGGATTCCTCGGGGCACATTCATTTTTATCTGAAGGAATATAAAAATTCAGTTTAATCTTTCAATTCAAATTTGTTTTCTACCAAACAAGTTGTCTGTGTCTTCTTTTTGATTATTCCAACATTTAATTTGTTCGCATTTATAGGGAATATCTCTGGAGGATCTTTGTTATGGTATCTTTATGGAGCATATTAATGCATAAAGTTTAAATGCACGGTGTGCAACAATAGTTGATCCTACTTTGAATTCTGGATCTAAGGATTACTACTATTACGAAAATAACAACATTTTTAGTTTGCAAGATTCTGATTTTTTAGTGCCGATTTATTAAGTTCCAAACTTGACAGTTCAGTCATTACAATTCTTTCTCACTAATTATTATAATTCAAAAATTCTGAATACAGCATTGCAGAACGATAATTGTTTTGAATCTAATGAGATTCTGTATGAATTACTAAATCGTAAAGTTTGTATTATTGTTGTGAATAACCCCACCCCTTCTCTGAAGTCTTAAATGTTACCATTTTCACAGTTCCGGCCTATGTAGCCCTGAACACATCTACATGTGTATTTATTAAAGGCCATCAATACAAGTTGCTCCATTCTGGCATGGTCTAGATTTACAATCATCCGGGTCTGAAATGATAAGGGTATTCTTCAAACTTTAAATACAATTGGGTACATTGATCAAATTAATAATTGCGAAATACACGAGACCAGAAAGTGTAAAGATATTAGGGTTATTATACCATAAGAAAAATTATATTTTGTATTAAAACAGATATACTCATTTCACAAAGGTCCCCGGAAGTTCCAGCAGGGCATATGCAAGTGTCTTTACCATTGGTCAAAGTACATCTTCCTCTGTTTTTACATGGATTAGGTCGACAAGGTCTTAGTTTTCGCTGTCCTGAAAATAAAAATTCAAGGAGCATGTATAATTCGCTTGCAAGCATTAATTATATACGTTCCTAACCCAATGTTTATGGATACACGAGACGGGATACTTAATTTGCTTGAAACTTTATTAGTTTTAAATAAATATGTTCATAGGTAGAGCCAATACATATTTTCAATGATTAAATAGAGAATCAGATATAGCGAGCAGGCTTAACAAAAAACTGTCTCAATTTTAGAATATTTTTGGCTCATGTCATTCCTTGTCATGTCTATTTTCTAAAAATCACAAGAGTGCATACTTTATTCCGGGAAAACTTAAGATTATTACAATAATGTTTTATTTTCCTATAAGAAAGGTAACCATTCTTATTATTTGGGAGAATTTAATCATTTTCACTCATTTTTGCACTTTGAATGATTAATAACTTCACCAATTTATAACATATTGTGAATCTTTTGGGAGATATTGTACTTGATATTGTAAGGGATAGATTGGTAGGTCAATTGTACATGTTGCTTGTAATTTTACCACCCCCTATAGATCAGATTCTGCCTTTAAGTTGGAGCAGCGTGATTTATTTAAAAAATGAGCTGAGCTAAGTAGTGCCATCTGTCAACAGACTTTAGTTTTATCATGTTTAACTAGTTTTTATGCTCATATTCATTCTCCTTCAAAATATTCAACCCAAACTGCAATGCACTTCCTATATCTGTCTACCCAATCCAAAAACACATGTTTAAGGCCTCCTCATGAGGGGTTATAAACGATGTAAGTTTTCCAGAACCGCAACTAATCAGATTTTTATAAATCAAGTGCTCCACCTAAATAAGTCATTGAAAATGTCCATCGACTCACCACCAATAAACCAATTTATATGAAACACAGTTGAAAACTAACTATCTACCCTGTCTCGTGTTACAGTTTGACCATCAAGCTCCTCTTCTTATAAAATCTAGAGCCAACGGTGAGAAACTTTTTGATCGACCCTTGTAATATTTCGTAAAGGTTTAAAGCAGATAATACAATAATCCTTACAAGGAACTTGTTTTGGTACAATATTTTGTATCCTGCCACGACATCATCGACCATCGATATAATTCCTAATTTTTTGTTACGTAAACGGGAAGGTAAAACCACTTCTAGCCGTTCCGTTTACGTAACAATTGTAAGCATTCGATAATTTTGGCGTCTCACGAACTTCATTCGAATTCGCAAACAGATTTTCTGAAACAAATGATGCTGACAAACGTTTGTCCTAAAGAGTAGGCCTAGTGAAGATTTTGCCTACAACTGTGAAACCAAAACAAAAATCGTACCTCCGATGCTGCAACATTTTGTATCGAGTCGGATCCGATTTTGTAAATAGTTTGAAATGTTCCACCTTAGTGGTGTACACGATTGTGATTCGTGTTACTACATATTTGCCCATTTGATAACAAAGTTGTTTATTCAAACAAGTCTTAATAAAAGTGACCCATTTTTTAAGTAGAATAGTCTCAAAATTTCTCCTACCTCCTTCAATCAAAACCAAGCTGTGCGTAACGTACAACAGTAGCGTCAAGATCCACCTCATTTTGACGATTTTTCTCACGTGATACCTTAGTTCAGTTCATGGCAGAACTTGCGATTTGCTCTTTAGAACGGAGTTGACTTTTTGTCATGACATCATTTTTATTGCATGTTTGTGAGTGTCGATATTATATTTATGTATTCTGCAGCTCCATGATATTAATGTTTGACCTTTCCGTTTCTATATTGGAAAATAATTCCAAACGTTTTCTTTTCATTAACGTTTATCATTGAAATAGACACATGCACTTAATTCACACTCTAAGGGCAATATTAAATCATGTTTCAAAATTGAATAGCCCCAAATTACAATAGAAGGAGCGAGTGAATCTAGGGTTTATGCCTCGCGAAATATGTGAATCCCCCTCGGTCTCTGCGGTCCCTCGAGAAATATGCGTATTTGATTTCCAGGAGAAAGCCTGTATTCAAAACTCCAGCACATAACACATTCGCACTTATGTACTGGATCATATTAATCAAGAACGTTCAATCGTGTTGCTATCTGATGTGGACTAGACACGTTGACATTTACAAATGTCACGGTATAGAAACAGATCAACTGTAAAATATTTAATGACCAACAAGGAAGTTAAAAAAGCATTGAACTCATCTGTCTGATAATATGAAAATAGAAAATGTATATAAGTGTTTATAGTTGTTAATTTTCACGCTAGAAATGAAACAACTTATTTACACAAATGGCCAGAGACTGTTTGTTTCGTTGGTGTAACCATGGTATATGATGATAAATATTAGATATGTGAATATTATGAATACATGAACACTCGATCGAAGAAGCGATCAGAAAATGAACGGGGGGGGGGGGGTAGCCGATTTCCGCTACAAAAGTCAACTAATCTGTAAAATGTAAAGTTTTGCAAAAATAAAGGTGCAGGATACCCTGAAATATGTTCGGTCTTTTAGGATTTTTTAAATCGATACGCTATCCATTAAAAAGGTGCAGCGGTGCCAGCGTGCAAAAGTCAATAGTTTTGCTATAGATCAAGCAACAATGGTCTAGACGACGTTGAATTATAATCATGTTTTGATAAAACGTTAGAATGTAAACGTATTTTCAAACGCCAGCACGTGACAATACTAATGATGACAACGTCACTCACAAGTACTTATTAGAGGTCGTGTACCAATCCGTTGGTGGCGTTGCACCCTTTCAGTAATATATCTCTCGTCTTTCCCAATACCTTCATGTTCAGATCACAGCTGACAGAGCATGATGAATTTACAATTTGGTTTGTGAGTGTATCATACTACCCTAACACAGTTCGTGACCACGTTTAAAAGGGATACAGGCCAAAGTGAAGTTGCAAATGGAGGATGTGGGTTTATTTACATATTTCTGAACGTAAACTAGATTTTACATATGTTCCAAGTATTCAACTATACATTGTTATAGATTCATCGAGCAGTTTACAAAATGTTATTGCCGACCCCCCCCCCCCTGTAGACAAAGATAGAGAATAGTAGACACAGTGAAGTAAAGGTTTAAGGCAATACAGGGCACTTTTAGTAAACATGCTAATGTAAAGGACGCATGTAAGAGCGAAGATGCGCTTGGATGAGCGGTTTTTGTTGAAAACGTGTGACCATGTGATTTGCCCGCAGGTCCTATTGATCTTTTTCGTGATACCTCGGGAAAAATCTTATTGAATATTACCCTACTGACTTTTGCCGCGGGCAGTCCAAAAACGCAGCCTTGGTTTGGCATCAAGCGTTAAGTTAACGTTATCCTCGCAAAAACCAACAAAGTCGATAACAAACGTCATCATTGCTGTACAGATTGGGAAATAGGAGAGGTATGGTGTAATGTGCCAAATTGACATTATGACAATTGGGATTATTGGATTTATTAATGTCTAGCCTCTGATCTAAAGCTAGAGTCCTCGAATATCTGAAAGTTTTAATTCAGACAACCCAATTAATAAATGAACGTAAGCTTAAACGTAAATGTTTTACCTTTTACCAAGTTGATGATTTTAACGATATACTGTAATGATTGTTTGATTTGAAAGTGTAGATAATATAAACATTTGTTATTTATGTAACAACAAACCATTATATTAAAACAATAATTCAAAATAATATTATACGTCTCTTTAACTGATATAGTATAATTGTATGTTCAGCCATAGTACAAATGAAAGTTTGCAGAATATAGACGCCAGATAAAAAAATCAAAAATAAGCTCTGTTTGAAAAAACACAAAAATCGCGTTTTGTGTGATCTTCGTCTCAAATTCAACGTAATTAGAGTGACAGCTTACTTGAGAAATGCAAAAGAACCCCGAAATATATTTTGTTAACGTTGGAAGAATTCAAGTCCGTCAATTCCAATCCAAGAGAACCACATTGTTTTCTGATTTGTTACTAATTCTGGCATATACTGTTGAAATCTTTCCAGCGTGCCAAATAGAGTATACATAGAGGAAAGATCATACGAAACAAGGACATTGGAATTCATACTTTGCTAGTAAGTATAACGGCGTATGTTTCTAATTATTCTGATATACATCTGTAACACAACGTAGATATGACTTTATTTAAAACTGTATTTTCAACTGACGTACTATTATAATTCAAAGTATACCGAAGTTAGTTTTCCTCAAAATTACATTTCTATATACTTAATAAATAATTTAGCATTTGGATTTACGGAGACATTTTGAGAGTGACAACAGATTTTGGTGGCAAGTTGTTATACTGATATGTACTTCCGGAGAGGTTCAAATTGAAGTTAACTGTATTTGTGCTGGATGGATTCAACACCACTGCTACAATAGCACCATCAGGGGCTTCAAAGGCAACCGTGTGTACATCATCCCAACCAAAGTTGGAAGAGTCAATACGAACAGATCCAGTGGGAACAAACTTGCTGAAGTGTCCGATTAGGTAATATTCGACCTCCCGTTGATAGCTTGTCTGGTCTACAGTGACCACTCCTCTACAATCCGAACACCCACCAACTCCTACTTTTGGACCGTGATCTTCATCCAGAGCCATATTCCACAACAATACAGTTTTAGCCCCATTTCTCGGTTGACCGATAAACAAATATCTTGCATTCCATCTAATATTATTGCCGAAATCCGTGGACCAATCACCACCTGTACATTCCGTAAAATAGATATTCTTATTTGGAAATTGATTTCTAATATCACCAGGTTTTTTGTAGTAGTCCTCCGCTGGATTCGAATAACAATGCCATGCCGATCCATCAACGAACGCATTTGTGTCGCTGTCACTCAAGATTCCCGTTGTAAACGCCGTATCGTCCCAGTTGTGATCGTAAGCAATTATCTTAGTGGATGTTGAGGACAATCGCGGCCCTAGGTGATCTTTTATGAAGGTACTCTGTTGCTGCCACCACATATACATGGATGGGTAGTCCTGGCTCTCGTGCAGTGGTTCATTTTGAACAGTTATTGCATTTATCGTGATACCTGTAAAAATAGTTCATAATAAGATATATGATGATATATCTAAGTATTTCATTTGTGATATATTCCTGACAGTTCATGGCGTTCGTTTTTTTAAATTACAAAATCATTTGGAAATGAGATTAACTGCAACGTCGCTGGCCTATCACATATCATTATGTTTTCGTCCTGAAGTAGTTTGTATTTTGTTTTTCCAATTTTATATAACCAACCCAAGAAGCTAAAACAGATAAATTACCTTCATCCGCATACGCTTGGACAAACTTTAGGAAATAGTCAGCGTAGACATTCATATAATCCTCCCGGAGGAACCCACCATTTAAACTACAATTGTTTTTCATCCAAGCAGGCGCACTCCAAGGAGTCGCCATAATCTTCAAGGTTGGATTTTCTCTTAGAGCACCTTGTAAGACGGGGATGATGAACTGATGATCTTTGGCAATACTGAAGTTTGCAAGTGCAGTGTCATTATGGCAAGAAGGCATATCGTTGTATGTATATGGCTCGACCGCTTGGAAATCTGACCCACCCATAGTAAGGCGGATGTAACTTATACCAATACCATCCTTGCCAAAGAGATCGTTAATGATCTGACTCCGCTGCGGACTACTGTAAATGTTGTATGCAGCGGCGTTCGTTATCGCTGCACCAAAACCATCCATGGTTTGATATCGTGTTGCTGGGTTAACGTTGACAGAAAATCCATTTGTTTGTTCACTATTTGCTACAATCGACGCTTCTCGAGAGAGTTTCTTTGACTCGTCCCCAGTTGTCAGCCAAACATCAAACCTAATATATATAGAATCGCTTGTACAAATAAGGACCTTTGTCATATTTTACACTACCGATTGAGTGTGGCACACGTGTTTTCTTTACTAGTATACAATAAACGTTTCATTCATAAACGTTTGATTCAAAAGGTAAATTTGTCTACAGGGTGTTGAAAAATGGATCACCAAAAAGTCAATTAATTTGAGACTAAGAATTTGGTATCTCATTTGTGGCGCATATGACCTTGATTCAATATCTGGTAATGTCTGAACGTTTCAGTTTGACCTTGTCTCTACATAGACACTTTAAATCTAGGGAAGAAATGGTAAATCACAAGATTTCATTATTCTACTGTTCTCCCCCAATTCTTCTTGCTATCTCCTTTTAGATCAGCAATATGGTTCTTGGGTTATCATGATAGGCATTTGAGACATTAAGCTTGCAACGTAACAACGTAACCGTGAACGCAAATTCCATGAATCAATTATGGAGTCTGTATAGTGCACATACAAAACAAGTGCTAGTTAGTCGTCTCTCCAGATACCCGATCAGCTTTAGAGCTGAGTATAGAACTGGAGATTTGCAATTTCACGTTGGTGGCAACAGGAATCATTGTATTCATGTCTTTTCAAAACTATGCTGGCAATTTTGATTTCGATGCACAACATAATGCTTTCTGAAGAAAATGATATATGTCATATATGTTTCAGCTCTAAATATCTTACGAAACGAGCTTGTTTAAAAAATGTATCATAAAAACCAGATATATACCACAAATAACACGATGATGGTATAGTCTAAGTGTCGGGCGAAGTAAACACTGACCGAACGATTGTTTTATTTAGGAAAACTACATGCATTTGTATAGGGCGATTTGAACGTACTGGTTTCCGTTTCGATATTATATGCATCGCTTAAAGTCCCCATTATTTTTGAAAAAATCCCCACAAATAAAACCCAGATGGTTCAAGTCTGAGCTGTAGGATGTCTTTTCTATTCCAGACCTTCTGTTGATGATTTGATCCCTGAAATGTATCTGTACCCACAGAAGGCTCTGGTTTAAGGTGAGGTAGGGAATGGCATTACAATGTATCCGGTTCCTAGTCAACTCGGACCCTAGTTAACTCGGATCCTAGTCAACTCGGACCCTAGTCCAACTTGGACCCTAATTAACTCGGACGCTAGTCAACTCGGACCCTTGTCAACTTGGACTTGTATTTTTTCATATTTTCCTTAGTTTGAGCATTAAAATGATGAGTAATATATAAAAAATTAGTACCGTGGATACTGGGCTCACATGGTGTTGCTCAAAAGTGAAAGATGGCTAAAATGACAGAAAATAAAAAGAACGATATAATTTTTTGCTGTTTTTTGTAACAAAATTATTTCAATTCAAGCTACTTGCCACTATTTGGACTGACTGAGAGACAGATTGACAAATCGATGTAAGTACAATGGCTGAAAAAACCGGATATAATTTTTTGCCAATTATTTGTAACAAGATTTTTTGAATTGATGTTGAACAAAAATAACTTGAAACTGGAATCCTATCGACAGAGGTTTAAAGGGAAATGGTTCAAAAGAGGATTTCGCGAAACAGATGGACAAATCAATGTTTACTAAAATGGCTGAAAAATAAAAAATGGATATAATATTTTGCCAATTTTTGTAACAAACTATTTACAGTAAAATGGCTTTTTACAATGCACGACAGCTGAAATTATTTGTAAAGCTAGGAAATGGGCCAAAAGTGAATTTCGCAAGACAAGAATGGCGAACATTTTGAAAATAGGCGAGCTTTTGAACCAAGAGTCATAGGAGAGTTTTTTGTATTGATGTTGAACAAAATTAACTTAAAACGGGAATCCTATCGACAGAGGGTTTAAGGCAAATGGTCCATAAGTGAATTTTGCGAGACAGATGGACAAATCAATGTTAACTAAAATGGAGGAAAATAAAAAAAATGGATATAAATTTGCTGATTTTTCGTAACAAAATTATTTCATACATCTACTCTTTACATTGACATGGCTTTTTACAATGTAGGACACTTGAATTTATTTGTAAAGCTAGGAAATCGGTCAAAAGTGAATTTCGCGGGACAAAAATGGCGGCCATTTTGAAAATAGGCGAGCTTTTGAACCAGGAGTCATAGGGGAATTTTCTGTTCTGATGTTGAACAGAAATAACTTAAAATACGAATCCTATCGACAGAGGTTTTAAAACGTGCCACTGTTGTTCACGGAAAAGTGGATTTCGCGAGTCAGATGGACAAATCAATGTTAACTAAAATGGCTGAAAATAAAAAAAAATTGATATAATTTTTGCTGATTTTTTGTAACAAAATTATTTCATTTATCTAATCTTTACATTGACATGGACTTTTACAATGTAGGACACCTGAAATTATTTGTAAAGCTAGGAAATGGGTCAAAAGTGAATTTTGTGAGACAAAAATGGCGAACATTTTGATAATAGGCGAGTTTTTGAGCCAGGAGTCATAGGGGAGTTTTCTGTATTGATGTTGAACAGAAATAATTTAAAACAGGAATCCTATCGACAGAGGTTTTAAAACGTGCCACTATTGTTGACGGACGGACAGACGGACAGGCAGACAGACGGACAAGTGAGTGATTGCAAAAGCTCACCATGTGAGCTAACAACATTTACCATATATAATTGTTAGTTAAATCAATGGTTGATAATGGTGAAAAATAATTCTGACACTTTTGAGTCAATCATAAACCATCCACCATGCACTGATTGTGAAATCATATACCGGTAGGGATAAATATTTAATAACCAAGAGTTTGATTTTACATGAAACTAGTTAATTTGTATTACAAACAAATACACAGTATTTAACAATTAAATTCAATGGAAATTTAAATGTTGTTGACCCAAATTCTTCAAACTAAGCCAAAGGGAGTAAACATGTTAAATAAATTGAAAGCCCATGATTTTCAAGGAATTTCTTAATCAAAGTAAAAGATTAAAGTTTGAAATCAAATGATAACACCATGTTTGATAGATTTGTAATTTGTATTTGTAATTCTTTGATTTATTAAATCAAAATGTATTTCAAATTCCCTACTCATTGAATATTTTACCAAGATCATCAAATTATTTACTCATTGTATTTCCAATTTGAAGCTTTGAAATAAAAATGTGTTATGAAAAAAGCATGTATTTTCGACAAACAGAAAGTATTTTTACACACATGTTTATAAAATAAATTTGGAAATAAAGTTTAAAGTAAAACACAAATGCGCTAATATTTCCCCATAATATAACGTATATTGGAATTAATGTAATACTTCTATATTTTGTTTACTTCAACAACCTAATTAAATGCTTATCAGAGGATACTGGATTTTTTAATTAGAATTCTTAGTCGAAGTTATGATAACAGCATTATACACAACAGGCTAAATTGAAATCATTTGTTTTAGAACATAGAATAGTTCCAAAGTCAATATAAAATGAATCAAAAGTATTTAAAAGTATTATTTAATTATAAAGAGCATTTTGATCACATATGTTGAAAAATAGCATAAAAGTATAACGGTTTTAAAAGATTGATTCTGACTCATCCAAAATATACATGGACATCATTATTTAAAGATTCTAGTAATGAATTAAATTATATCTTAATGGGTGACGCATATCGTTTAGCAAATCGAGCGCTCGTTTCTGGTGTTGCTCACCGTTTAGTATAAAAGGCCCGATCCCGGAATAATACTCAAGGGTTCACACGTTCGAGGTCGTTGTGTCAACACCTCTAACTGTTATATAGAATAAGTATATTATAGATCGTCACACATTTATAAAAGGGTGATTTTTATTTTGACAAATCAATTCCACATTTATGGGTGAAGTTTCAGGATCTTCTATTTGTGTATAATAAGGAAAAATTGGCATCTAAATTTCCCCATAACGTAATAGCACACAGCTTGGCATATGAAATATCCTACAAATGAAACAAAGGAAGACAAACCGGTTTCTAATACAAGAATTTATATTGGCTGTTGTACATGTATTATTTGAACGCAATCACTCTTTAGATAACGTTTTCAAAATCATTATAAACGGATTACTTTATCTCAAAGACAATTTCAATAAACTGGATTTTACACGCCTGGGGTCGCCATATTGTTTTTATACGGGATGCTAATCGGAACCCTTTAAAATATTCCAATATTCTAAGTATTTTGCAAGTTAATTGCTTTCACCTCTCATGAAGTAAAATACATCTGATTTATATTGAATATAACTAGGTGCGAGTTAACTAGGGTCCAAGTTGACTAGGCCCCGAGTTAACTAGGGTCCGGATTGACTAGGGTCCTAGTTGATCGGATACCCTCCTTTGAAACCATTGCTAACCTTATCAACACATTGTCTTTGATCTAAGGCTCCGTAGAGCTTAGTGATAAACGCGTGACCCCATCTACATAAATACTTCCTGGGACTTTGTCCTGCAGATTCCCTTAATGAGTCAATGTTTTGTTCTGTTCTAGTAGATGTTAGCCTCTAGAATGGTTCTCTATCGATACCCAATCTATCTACTAAAGTGCTCATATGGAGAGAGATATAGGATTTCAACATTGACATACTGAAACGTCCGGACTAATCTCTTCTGTCCGGTAACGAATTTACCCATACATTTGGAAACAATAGTATAGTTTCCATATAGCTTTTGAAATCTCGCTAAATCTCATTTTTCGTGAGATTTTAAGAGACTTGCATATTAGACCTCTAATGACTTACATTACCTTCTTTTAAATGGTATATTTGAATTCAGTGGAATGTTTTCTCCTAAAATAGCTTTGATTTACACAGTTATGTAATTTGAATAATTTTCTATGACAATTTAAAAAAAGTTGGGCCAAATGTCCATAGATGCAATGCTAAAATTCTTTAAAACCGTGGATTATTTGTATGTCAATCAACATTAGCATGTTTAATCACAACATGTTCATAAACAGGGTCATCATGTGGTATATCATTCAAGTTTTATACAGATTCAACAAACACACTTCGATAAATCATGAAATTAAGCCACTTTTCCAAGATTTTAGCATGTAAGTGAATGGAGCTCTAGCCAGAGTTAAAAACTGAATAAAAGATGGCAGCACGAGATTTCATTGATTTTTCTGCTATTTAGAAACTATCCTATTGCAAAAGATCTTGAAAAATAATTGTTAACTTTGTTGAACCTCACGAACTTACCGATTTCTTGTTATATAAAGTAAAGCAAATTCAATAGTCTACTTACCTTTTTTCCACTATAACGATTTTTTCACATTTTCCCTTTTTAAGTAGTCCCGCTATACCACTGCATTTAACCCATTTATATCCTTCTGGACAACAGCAATGCACATTGAGATTTATGCTATGAACATCAGAATGCTTATCACATGACGTGGGCCAAACTTACTGTTCATGAAAATCGATTCTCAAAAATGTACCAGATCTGTCATCTGACCAATTGTAATTGTTGAATTTTTGAAAAATTGAAAAAAATGATGCCAACAAACCTGCGGTGCCAACTGCATTTGAAAAACAAACCCGATACCCCTCCATTAAGAAGTCCGAGAACCAATGCCAAGGTCAGATACCCAAAACGCATCTCGGTTTTCAATCTGGAGCTTTGAATTCTGCAATTATAACACTGTATGTACATTGATCGCCTATTATTACAAGTGCGTGAGTAATGACTCGACAAGATCCGAAAAATACAATACATTGTAATCGTTATTTTCAAATGATCTATTTGTGTTTCTACTTGTATTACAGGCTACTGGTGATTCAATTAGGCCTTGTAGGCACCAGATCACCCATATGCTTTGAAATATATATATATATATCAGTTTGACCATTTTTCGTATATGTGATGGATTTTACGAGGTAAAGACATAAACGGCGATATAATATGTGTTATTTAATTTAAAAAGCTTTGAAATATCAAAAACAAAATAACATTTTACACTTTTTATACTTAGGTTGGGTCTTGGACTTCCATTTGACCATGATAAAAATCACACTTTCTCTTAATAACATGGAATAAATATTTGAGAACAGAAATAAATAGATCAGCCTATAGTGTGAGTTTTTGCAGACCAGCCACCCAGAAATATTGATTTTGATGATCAGAATAAAAAAGGAGTTTCTCGCAGAATTTATGTCCAAAACCAAATAGAACATTTATTTGGGGAAAATAAACAACACCGTTCCCTGATTCATTAAATAAAATGGTCACTGTGTGTGCGTACATTTCGTATTGTTTTTCTGTCTTTAGGTTTTAATACAATTACCCTTTATTGATCTGTACAGTAGAACCTGCCAAGAGGTACACTTCTTCGCGTAACATCTCAGAAGTGGAACAGCTTTTTAAAGTTTACATTTACAATTTAAAAATTCATAATACGGTCAATAGTGGCTCGATTTTCATGAAATAAAGCATATTGGTAAGAAAATTTAATATGCTAAATTATTATCAATCAAACAGAGCAATAATTATCTTTCTGTATTTTCTAAAGCATAAGAAAGAATATAACAATCAATGTTTTATGAATTTATATTTTATCGGCATCAAGTTCCAACTACCACAACTTTGCCCACCTATCCCCAATCACATTGGTTTTTACGCCCAAAAGTGTTTTATATCTGTTGCTCGAGCTAAACTGATAACGGAAACCCCAAAAAACTTCAAAAAGTACTCTTGAAAAAATCAATTTATCTTATATAAATGTGGTTATTTCAATCGCAGGATAACGGTGTTCTTTAGCTATAACATATACTCTAGGCGCGGTCAGGAAAATTCTCAATAAATGGTGTATTGTTGGTTTGGCTGCATTTTCAGTTAGGGGGGAGTCTTGGATGAAACTGCCACCGAGGTGATAGCTTCGCAGATAATAGGAATGTCTTTTTGGGGGGTGAGCCCCACCCCCCAAAACACCCCACCCTGGGGGGAAAAATGTTCACACTAAATAACCTTGGATATTTGATGGTTGTAAGTGAGATACATATATAGCATATGTATGAATCATTTGCAGTATAATTGATACCGATTACTTCAAAAGAATTTGAATATTAGTATAAAGTGTGTACCCCAGGGGGAAATTCGTGACCCATTTTCTTACTATTTTGATCCTAATTTTTCAATTAGACACTGTAACATGAAGTGCCCAATAGCAGGGTTAGTAACCTTGAAAGATGCAAAGCCATTGAAGAGGCAGGAGCAGAGAAAAATTGTCGATTCTTTTGAAAAATGTGACTTTTGACCGCTGGATTTTGTGTATGACTATAGCCGACCCCTATAGTTTCTAGATCTATCCCTCTATGATGATATTTATGGATTTTTTTAGTATAGTGTGGAATTAAGATGTAAAACCTACTTTAGATGGGTTTTAAGGAAGTTAAAGTTTTTAAACAAGTCAAAAATTTGAAAAATTGTAAATATAAGGTTTAAAATCTACAAATTCCAGGTATAGCCATGGCTGACCCCTATAGTTTCTAGATCCATCCCCCTATGATGATATTTTTGGTTTTGTTGTGTGGAACTAATATGTAAACATAATTTAGATGAGTTTAAAGGAAGCTTAAGGTTTTAACAAGTTCAACATTTGAGAAAGTGTAAATGTAAGGTTTCAAATCTACGAATTTCAGGTAGAGCCATGGCTGACCCTTATGGTTTTTACATCCATACCCCATATGATTAAATATACAGTCTTAGAGTGTAGGACTAAGATTTAACACACCCAAAATGAATTTTAAGGAATTTTAAGGTTTTAAACAAGTCCAAAATTTGAAGAATTGTAAATATTAGGTAGAGCCATGGCTGACCCTCATGGTTTTTACATCCATACCTCTATACCTAAATATATAGTTTTAGAGTGTAGGACTAAGATTTAACATACCTAAAATGAATTTTCAAAATATCGATGTTTAAGGTTTAAATAAGTCCAACATTTGAAGAATTGTAAATATAATGTTTCAAAGGATAGGTATCGATATGGAGAACTGAATTCAACAATGTTTTTCTCTTAAAGTGTCTCACATATTCGATCAAAATTTGCCATGCAAACATGTTAGTCTACTTTACTGGCCCCCCTTGTTGTAACAAGGAACCCAAAACACATTAAAACGTAAACATAAACCAATTAGTCACTTCACTATGAAAGTGAGGGGTGTACGCTGTGTGCATGAACTAACACAATATCTGGTCATTTACTGTGTCAACTAAGTAACCCTTGAATATCGTGCTCACTCAAGTATTGAATACTTTTTTTATGATCTAAATGTTTGTGGTTTATAAAAAAAAATGTGATATGATTTAGTTAGAAATACATTAATTAATATATTCATTCAAACAGCACTAGAATGCTGGAAGAAAGAGCAATGGTGACAAAATGCAGACAGAATTTTCCGTAAGGGTTTCTAACATTTCTGAACACAATCATACATGTACTTCATGTGTACTGTTATTTTTAGTGCTATATTTATAGATATAATTTCACGTATTAAAATCATATTTTCCAGCAATGACTTCAAATTCGGAACCACACCCATATCATATTTTCTTCAATAACTCCAAACATGTGTAAACATTGACCATGTGCATATAAATTCAGATTTCACGAGCTCTTTCCTATTCGAGTACCTCATACACCCCTGCATGGATTTGAGTTGGATTCGCCTTTTATACGTGAGCCGACACACTCGCAAACGCTGATTGGATAAAGATTGCGAGAATCTTTAAAGTAATCATTGAAAACATTCTGTATTTTATGTAATGTTGACAACAATTTAATGCGAAAATTATTTTGAAATATTTTATATAACTGTTTTTGTTAACTTTTTTTGTTTTTTTTAGTGCAATTGTTTTTGCTCCTTTCTACTAATTCTTGAGAATGAAATAAAATGTCTTTCTGAACCTTATTGGGATAAAATAACATATACAACATGTTTCTAGACCTCTCAATAAAAAGTTAAACAAAGGAATTTAAAGTTAAAAAATTAAAGTTAAAAAATTTAAAGTTATACAAAGGAAATTTTGGTTGATTTTAAAAAAGTATTCAAAAAATTAAAACAAAATCCCCCCAAAATAGATAAAAATCAAGAAAAACATTTTATTTCATTAACAAGATACTTTTTTAAAATCACCCAAAATTTCCTTTTTACAATTACAATATTGAGAGACCTAAACATGTTGTGTTTATGTCGTTTTGTTCCAGTGAGGTTCGGAAAGATGTTTCATTTCACTCTGGAAACATGATACCAAGAACAAAACAAGTGTTTGATGTGCTTTTTAAAACAATATAGATGAAAGTATGTATATTTATTTAAAATTATATTGTTACCATTCAAAAGATGGCCATTAAATTGACAATTTGTAAGATTTTCAGAAATTTTTTATGACTGGTTTTAGAGAAACGTGTGTTCAAAAAGTTCGCCATATCGATACCCATTCTTTACGAATTTCAGGTATAGCCAAAGATGACCCTTGTGGTTTTTACATCTATACCTCAGTGATGAAATACATACTTTTAGAAGGTTAAGCTAAGATGTAAAAGAGACCTTAGATGAGTTTTAAGGAAGTTCAAGGTGCAAACTTTGAAAAAACTGTAAGATATCAGGTCTCAAATTCACATAATTTAGGTACAGCCTTGGATCAGCCCTGATAATCGAAGATTATTAGCATATTACATCCAAAGTTTTCCAGTGCCTAAACTGGAAGACCCTGAGTGAAAGAAGAAAAGAAAAAAATCTTCGAATAATGTTCAAAATAAATAGAAAAATGGTAGCTAAATACATTTCTGATATTTTTGATATATATAAAAACCCCGCCACTAGGACAACAAGACACTCTTTACCATTTAAATTACCCACTCAAGTTACAACTAGATTTCTCAATGCACCAGTCCTAAACCTTATAAAGAAATGGAACAACCTAAGCCAACCTGTAAGAGATTTACCAACCATTTCTAGTTTCAAAAATGCTGTTCGTTCATTAATACTTCCTAATATGAATTTTATCCCAACAACCAAGCTCAAACTTTCAAGGAATAAGGAGAAAATCATCAATAGACTAAGGGTTGATTTCATGTTAAAAGATCATTTTTTCTCTCACAATTTTACAGGAGTTAATGATAACAAATGTCCTTGTGGATCCCCTGAAAGTACAAAACACTTTCTCCTATCTTGCCCACGCCATATAAATGAAAGAATTGATATGATGGCTGCACTGAGACAAAATAACCTACTTTATGATACAAATACATGTACAAATCAAAATGACCAATTAGAATATCTTATTTTTGAAAACACCCTCTGTCGAGATTCTCAAAATACCCTCATTGACATAGTAACTGACTTTGTTGGAACGTGTTATATACATCCAACTAGAATTTAAAGTTAAAACTTTGACTCATATAGCATCTCTCAACCTCCTGGACCCAAATAAAATAAAATAAAAACTTATATTGTTTATCTATTTTATTTACAATATTTTACTTACTTTCTGTTTTGTGATATATAAAGCCACATGAAAACTATGTTTAATTTACTTAAAGCAACCTGTAATGCCACATGGCGATTGGTATGCTTTTATATGTAATTGTTTATATTGTTTTCAATAAGTGAAATAAAATCATTAATAATAATAATAATAATTATTAGCATAATACAGTATCACCTATGATTTCATAGCTTAGAGTCCAGCTGTAGAATATATTCCTGTTGCAGTTTGTCTGCTGCTTATACTATAGATGGAGTAAAAAGTCATGAACTACAGTAACATCTCTCTAATCTGAATGGTATTTGGACCAGCTAAAAGCGTTCTAATTAGGAGTTGTTCGGATTTTGAGGTTTTTGCTGCATCTGCGATATTCTGGATTTTGAAAAAAATATGAATGCATTCTCAATGAAAATATTAATAATATTTCTATTGACCACATGAAAAGTTTAATGACATCCCAAAATCCAATTAAAAGGTTTTTATATCATAATAATTCAGTGCTTTACAGACAATATTTGAGCAATTTTGTAAGAAATATGTGCTATTTGGTGAAAAGAGTTCAAGTTAAACAGGTTAAAATTCAAAATATGAATGTTCACTGCTCGAATAAAGAGGTGTTCAGATTTCAATTTTTTTAACATGAGAGTCAGTGGGATGAGTATCCATTGTTTTCAGCATGATCTTCGTTCAACATTTTGAAAAAAATGTTGACGTGGGGTCCCTATTTATAATTTTTCGAATTGTTCGATATTTCTACCATCATGGGGACTTTACTTGAAAGAAAACATATTTTTTTAATAAAAACACTGTATCTATGCCCAGAAAGTATATTCATGGTGAAATATGACCGTCTAAAATCAATTGCCATACTGCATATGGATCTTTGTTCTTTGGAAATATTACTTTCAAATATAGTTAATTGATTTAATTCTTCTAAACAAGTCTATGGCAAAATCGTTTAACCAATCAATTTCATTAAAGAATTGTCCGCTAAACCATCTAATAATTATATGCTCGAGGCTAGCCTTAGATTTCAAATTTATATTTTCAACATGATCCATGAATAATAAAGAGCAAGTCTTTGAAAATTCTTATCAATAGAAAAATTGAAAAATTACAAAATTGAAAAATTATTAAAAAATGCCAAATCAAAAATTGCTAACCTTTTTCTGTCTATCCTTGCGTTTGTATGCCTGATACCAATTCAACGATGCGTCTTTCAAAGCCTCAGAAATGCGGAATGACATTTTCTATTCTTCAATTGCAATATAAATAGCTATCAGCTAAAAATGTGACGTTCGTGTTTACGCATGCCGTAAGAACTTATTCAACGGTGCTTTGAACACAAATCAGATAATCGATAAATGCACCAACATTTTCGTCATTTTGTTTCTTTGTGAATGAATCAATCACATAAACGGATTTAATCAAAGTTTCGGTTTTACAAACTGACAATGATTCATTTAGGTGTTATTGTGATCTGGTATCCACATTTATCAAAATCGGACATAACGGATTCCGTGACAAATACGTCCAAGGAGCAGGTTCCAAGCGTCTGTCTTACCCGCTCAACCAAAAACCATTATAACAAACTTGTTTTAAACACAAACTAGAGCGGCAAATAATGTGATCCTTCAGAAATAAAGGTACTACGTGTGTAGTACAAATTCAAATCTCTAAACCCATGAAAGAATATGAAAGACATTATTAACATTTTAATGTGGAACAGAGAAATGAATATAGCCAATGTGATATTTTAAACAAGTCTGGGAACGTAACAGCTGTTCAACTTACACAAGCGTTTTTAATCCATGACATTGACCAAGAATAAGCAGTGATATAACCATTACTCTTGTCAAAAACGTCAATTTTTTCATTTGGCGATAATGCACATAGCAAGTCGTTCAATAAGTTCGCGGAAAATACTCTCATTTCAAAGGGTTTTAATTTTCACGTAGCATCCATAAAAAATCTGGTTATTTATTTGTAAAATATCAGCATCTCTTATTTGATTGGTCAAAATTGACGGTTACTATATGGTAACCTAACTTTTAGCCAGGCGGGGCACTTTACGTCACTCAATTTCCAATGAGTGCAAATGAAGCCTTAATTGACTCATGTATTTTATTTGTTCTCATTAAAATTTCAAATGGTTAATGTAGAACAACTAAATGACAACTCAATCGCATCTTTAGTAACTTTTACATAACACGTGAATGCTCTGATAACATCATCAATCAAAGTCGCACCTGAGAGATTCCAAGATGGCTCAAATTCAAAAGAACAAGTTTTCAAAGATCAGAGCTGCATGTTAGATTCTGCCGGTTTCCTTGGAGAGCAGACCAAACAGAAAATGATGAATCATATTTGGGATGTGTATGGTAAAGATACTATGATGTGGTGATCCTTGATTTTGCTGTTTCGAACAGGATGAAGGATGAGTTACGACATTTTCGACAAGGAACAATACAACGTACAAGAACTTCAATAGAAGTCCAAATGGTCCTTCAAACACGTGTTCCTCATGACTTCAGAACAGAGTTTCAACAATATGTTGAACACCAGCAACTGCATTGAACACAAGGGAGAACACGTTGGACACTTTATGGGATAGTACATGAGAAGTAATATCATGTGTACATGAAAGCAGATGAAAGAGGAAATGAATGTGATTTACTCATACTATTTTGTTGTTTTCTTTATTGAATAGTGTGAAAGTGTCCCGTGTACCCAAACGTCAATTTATCATAGTAACCATTGTTTTTGACCAATCACATCACAGATGCTGATATTTTAAAAATCAATAACCAGATATTGTGATGTGATTTGACAATTTCCTGACAAAACATTTGAAACCTCTGAAATGAGACCATCTTTCCGTGAACTTATTGGACGACCTGGTACATCGCAAAGCAAACGAGAAAGGGTCGATGGCAAACACTGACAGGACCCGGGTTTCTATAACACGTGCTAGAAACACGTACTAAAATAGTCTCGCAACCAGTGCTATTTACTGAACGAAACGACACGAAAACCCCGGGACAGCGTCCTATCAGAGTATTTATGGATAGGACCCCCGTATGACCATGCTATCAGTTTGAATCTATCATTAACAAACTTATGTAACAGGCCCGTAGCCAGGACCCTCTACCATTGCCAAAACCATGCAGTTTTCACCATTCTGAGCACTTTTTCAAATGGTTTTGGTCATTTTTGGGCCATTTCAAAAGTGAATCCCTTGGATTTTTTTTAAAATCGACCCCCCCCCCCCGTCAAATGCCGGCTACATCCCAGATTTAAACTTAAAACAATAAAATACTGTATAAAACCCAGGGGATATATCATCCTCCGACTCATTTCTCCTGCATCCCTTGACCCGTACTTAAATAGTCTCGAAACCAGTGCTATTTTAACTTTTGCCGGTAGAGGCGCCATAAACTGAACGAAATGCAAAACACTCTAAACCCGGGATGTAGCATCCTTTGGTATTCATGAATTGGATTAATTGCCCGACCTTTTACCTTTCTGTCAATTTGAATTCATGCCGATAAAGGCTCTCAAAATAGAATAAAATTTGTTCTCGAAATTCAAAGATGAATTGGCTATTGCAATTAGGAGTTGGAGTCCTTATGTGTTCAAGTTTACGTTTTCAAAGGTATTTGGGATTACAGATGTAGATGAGGTTTTAATTAATGTTATAATTTCTGATAATAGCTGGCCTTGAACTTCATTGAAGTATTTGGAGTTGATGCTGTATTCAAGTCTGGATCAAATAAACTAATAAAGAAAGTTTGATGTACTGATTTATTTATTTCTATTGCAAATAACTATTTACACATGCTATTTAAAGGTCAACCCATGTGACTATTCATTTTATCAAGCGATTTATAAAGTTTTATAATTATGCATATACCTGTTGACTCACTTCAATCCTGAACATTAACAAATTTTATCTCCATTTCTGGATGTGGCTAATTCCTATTGTCCCTACTGTGGACTAGTGACAATATATATTTTGCAAAAGCCAAAAATGTATGCATTCAGTATTGAAACATCAAGTACATTGTACATCGATCACAAATAAAGACACATTTACATATATTCCAATATTCAAATACTGTAAAACCTGTAAATAGTGAACACCTATTGAGCCACAAAAAGTGTTCACGATAGTTATTTTCTAACTAGAGGGGATTATATACAGGAGTCGATGTGAAATCTATCTAAAGTGGTGTGCACTAAAACAGGTTTTACTGTAGTATATGAGATATAATAAAAAATGTAATACATATACCCGTAAACCATATTATATCTAATGAGCGCACAATTCCAATGAGTGCAAATGTGACTTTCTTATTGAATTTTGTCTCAATATTAACACATTGATTTTGATTAACAGAACTGGTTGATATCTAGTGAGTGATGATTTTCAACATGTTTAATGCAGATAAAAATAGTAGCTGTAGAGTATGAAAACCTAAGTGATCACAGCTAAAAGCATCATCGTCGATATTTTTCTCAATATCATACCCTTGAGTTGGCAATAACACCACAGAAAATGCACCGATTCAGGTATGTCCACATAAACTAAAATGCCTACATAATGAATACTGCAATTACTGGTTAAATTTGACAAGAAAAAACAATTTCCACAACCCCATGATTAAATGTCAATGAAAGCCCTCAAAAACTAAAAAATACAAAACACCAGAACAGCTTAATGCTTCTTCAATTTTTGAATTTTTAGAAGAAATCCAATGTTTACCAACAACAGACGCCTTGTTATTCTCAGAGGCTCACTGTGCAAGAACCATTAATTGAATATCTTAAAGATCTTCCAAATGTAATGAGCTAACCAATCTCCAATTTTTATGTATGATAAATCCTGTATTGAAATAACAGTATTCATATTTATTCGCCAAGTAGAAATCTTATACTCTCCACCATTTTTATTGGGGCACCAAAATTCATCCATTTAAGATTTCCCTTATTAAATGACTATATGTACTTTACAAAGTTATTGCAAATGAATATCTTTACATGAAGTTAACAAGGCATTTCTACAAAAGATTGTTTGCACACATTCAGTGTAACCTTGTAACAAACACCGATTTCCATCTAAATAACACTCTGACAGAGACTATAAAAATGTATTAGCTATCAAGAGTGATATTTTTCACCAAATATATGTTTTCGTAAGTACTATAAATTCAAATACTTCTGATCAATTTACTTAATAAATTCTACTAACCACTATTTCATCAATATTTCGATAGCTTGCGCACAACCAAAGCAGCAAGACAAAAGTATTTTCCTGTATACTACCAGGCCATTGTCCCAATGAACATTAAGATGATTTTGAAAAGGTGTACTTTTTGTAACACATAACAAACATGTAGAGAGCTTCTTCATCTGTAAACACAAAGCTTCAAAATCATCCCTGTCATACAGTTTTGTTATTATACCTCCAACATCAAGCGATAGTTCTTCTGTTATCATGAACTGACAACCCCCGAGAGCCTCTTGCTGATGTTCTGACTCATGTTGTTGTAGAACCTGATGGTGTTCTGACTCCTGTTGTTGTAGAATCTGGGAATATTCTGACGCATGTTGTTGTAGAACCTGGGGATGCATTGCTCTGACTCATGTTGTAGAACCTGATGATGTTCTGACTCAGGTTGTTGTAGAACCTGATGATGTTCTGACGCATGTTGTTGTAGAACCTGGGGATGCATTGCTCTGACTCATGTTGTAGAACCTGGGGATGTTCTGACTCATGTTGTAACCTGGGGATGTTCTGACTCATGTTGTTGTAGAACCTGGTGATGGATATTCTGACTCATGTTGTTGTAGAACCTGGTGATGGATGTTCTGAATCAGGTTGTTGTAGAACCTGGGGATGTTCTGACTCATGTTGTTGTAGAACCTGATGATGTTCTGACTCATGTTGTAGCACCTCGGGATGTTCTGAATCATGTTGTTGTAGAACCTGGGGATGTTCTGACTCATGTTGTAGAACCTGGGGATGTTCTGACTCATGTTGTAGAACCTACAATTCACAATTTACAACTAGAAATTCGCAACTCCAAGGTTGTAGGGAATCCCAACGAACATATATAAATCATGAACTGTACAGTCACAATGTAATATTTACCATCGCACTCTTCCCTTCAATAAATAGATCATTGTAGTATCATATCTCTAAGTTATGGCCTATTCCAGCCATTTTTAATTTTCTGAGGCAAGA